GTCAAGTGTTTCCAATGGAAACAGTCCCCCTGACAAGTTCAGCACCAAGGACAGGCCCATGGCACTCGCTTCTGCAGCTAATGTTGAAGTTATACTAAGCAGTGCTGACAGTGCCATGGAGTTAGCAATGCCAGTTGACAAGGAGTCCTGTTCGGTGACAATGGATAAACTGTACTCAGATGGTACTGGTGATGTAAAACAGGAAACTGATCTGCCAGCTTCTGTATCTTCAGTTAGGAGCAAACATGAGGAAGCTGATCAGACAAGTTATTCTGGTTGTATCTTGACAAAAGAGGAAACGTGTCCAACAGAAAGCACAGTTCCTCCATCATCAGATGCTGTACCTACAACATCATTGTCTGCAGTGGATGTCGGCTGTATCAGGGAAATATATGGGAGCAGCCAAGCTACTGGATGTAACTCTCGAAGAGAGGAGACCACAGAAGTTCAGCCTGAAGAGTTCTCTGCATTTGGTAACTCCATTTTGGAAACAGCTAACCAGTCTGGCATTGCGTTAGCAGACCATCAACACACAGAAGGGCTGTCCCCGTCAGCTATGTTGTCAGATGCAGCGAACATGTCGGCGATACCTGACTGTACCTCAGCAGCAGCCATGTCCATGTTGTATGGAAGTCCAGCCACAGAAGTTATTCCAGAAGTTATCGCAGCTTCTTCAGCTGAAGAAATAGACCCACAACCTCAGCCATCCTTACCAAATGGAAGGTCACAGCATGGTCATCAGAACATCCCAGAACAAGCTGCTGCTTTGGTGTCATCAACAGAGGATGTTGTAATTGAAGGAGAGGTCCTATCTGACGAGTTTTCCCCAGCCTCGGATGGATATGACTCCCCTCTTCCAGTCAACCCAGTACTGGCTGAAGGAAGTGAAGCCGAAGAGTGCAGTCCTTCTGTGGACTGTGGCAGCACTGATGTCACAGACACAAAACTCCAGCCTACTGGTATAATGGCAGAAACAACCTCAGTAGATCATACATATGCAGCTTTGCAGCATATTGCAGAAACTGCAGACAAGACTGCAGAAACTTCCTCAGAAGGGAGTGCTGCCAAACTTCAGGACTGTTCCACAGCTACATGCAGTGGTGGAAACTCAGGAGAGGAAACAAACCCCGGCTTGTGCAAATCATCAGGAGCCAACTGTACCAGTGACATCCCCAGTGCCATAGATGAACAGAAAGAGAACTCAGGAAGGTTAGCTATGGTTTTCCCTGAGATGCAAGTGACTGAAGATGGTGCAGGGATAGGAACTTCCAGTCATCCTAGTCAGCACAAGGACGGTCCACTTGACAGGCCCTCATGTATGGGGACATCGGGATGTTCCGAACCCACTGCTGACCTGATGGTGGAAGATACAGACAAACCAGCAGTAGTACCAAATGAGTCTCTGAAGGAAGGCTTTGTGACAGGTAAACTTACAAAACCTTTTGCACACCTTTCGTCACCAAGTTTCCCAATACTAAAACATGTATCATTATGGGTGAATTGATCTAGATTCTGGCATATTTCATTTAGTTTGATCCATTCAGGTAGTGTGGAAAAAGGGCTGTTTTGTTTCAATGGTACGAAGGGGAAGTTCACAAGTTAAAGGGACATTGTTCCAGCTTTGAAATAAAGAATTGTCTGCTTGAAAGTAAAAAAAAAAGAGGGTCAGAAATAAGAAATCAGGATGAAAGTCAGGGCTTGTATGCAGAGTGGATGGACTGAAAATAGTAAATATTGACATGTATTTTAATACATATTCATTGAATTGAATTGTTTCAGGTGTAAATATGAAGGCATGTGTGGCCCATCCTATGGAGTCAGATGGTTCGTTCTGGATACAGAACAGCCCTGCAGAAGACAAGAACTATAAACTCATGATGGATGAAATGAGGTGAGCAGAGGCACAGGAACATGTACATTCTGTGTGCAATGTTGTAGATTCCCCATTAAGGAGTAGACTTAACAAAACAGTTGTGATTGTTTCATGTAGAATTGCATATGCATGATGCAGTAAACTATGCTGTCTTGAATTCTGCTTGATGTTTTATTAGAAATCCATTAGATTAGACTTGAAAATCCAACCTACTTGTGTTGGACTAAAAAAAACAAAAGTGTACATATAACATGTTACCTGTACAATGTATATGATAACAAAAGCACACAACACTTACACGTACATTTGTAAGACTTCAGCTTGCATAAAACTACATAGTAACAAGCACTTTTGTGATATTTCAGAGAATTGTGTATTTTTGTAAAAAGTAAACTACATGTACTGGTATGCTGGATTGGCTCCTGTGATATTTTAGAGAATTGTGTATACCTGATATAGTAAAAAGTGAGCTATGCTGGTTTGACTACTGTGATATTTCAGAGCTGAAGCTCCCCTCATGGAGGCAGTGATGGAAGAAGCCAGCTGCAGCCTGGGGCTGCCGGTGTGTGCAGTGTCTGCCCAGGAGAACATGTGGTACAGGGGGAGGATTGAGAAGAAATTCAGCAAAACAGTAAGTTATCTTACTGCACTTCTTAATTATGTTTACCTTTTTTTAAGTTTGCAGAAGGAAAACATATTTTTGGCTATTTTTCTTCTTCCTCTTCTACTTTTCCAAACAAATCAAGTAAATGAACTGGGCCAGATGTCTGTCACCATGATAACTGGTGCTGTAGCAGACACCCTGCAATGTTGGGTTGTATTATGTAGCGGGACAAAGTTGGAGGGGCTGGTCAACATTATGCAATTTCTTTGCAAATGTTACCTTTCTAGTGGCACACAATGTATCTGTTTTTTCTCACTAAATGTTCATCACTATTTCATGCCCTCCATTTGACATCCATACAGGAAAATGTGCAATAAAAGTTTGTTGTTTCTTGTCTATCACCCAGGCCCTAGTGCGGTTTGTAGATCTAGGCAAAGCTGAAGAGATTGCTTACGTAGACGTCAAGCCTCTGCCTACCAAGTACCAGCACATGGACTTCCAGGTAACAGTGAATACCATAAGGGTTCAGTTTAAAATTAATAAGAAGCCAATATTTGTTTTAGCCACATCAGATATTTGTTGAAAGAACAAAGAACTTCTTAAGAGGCTAATTTGATGAGGAAAATGTTCCAGCAATGTTGTTACACATTGACTTGTCTTCCTTTACAATAAACTGTTGACTGTTACGATTTTCGAGCAAATGTCTCCTAACAAAATACTTGGTAGAAGAAAGTAGATAGCTCATAATTGTGAAGAGGAAAATTGGTTGTTACATGTGGCTGACTATTTTCCAGGTACAGAGGAGTTGGCTTGCAGGAGTGAACACCGTTCTGAGTGAGAAACAGGTGGAACTGTTCAACAAACTCACAGCCAATAAGAGAACACTCTGGACACAGGTGGTAAGTCATACATGGTGCTGTCTTGCCAGTTTTACATGTATCTGCTACCGTCTTGTGTCTACACAAGTAGTAAAGATTGGTGGGAACAGTATACATGCTGTTGGTCATTAGGTCTCTAGAAAATTCATATTGGCCCATGCCAGTTTATTGTATATGCTAATAGAGTGCACTATATACCTGAGACCTTTTAGAAATTAACCGCAAAGACTAGATTTTGGTAGATATATCCTCCTGTGTCATAGTCCTAACTGAACTTAAGAAAACAATTTTCTTCGATTATTCAAAGATCGCTTTCTCTGATTTCTAAAAGCCCTGTACATGTAATTTGTCACAAGTTATTATCAGATGTTATTTCCATATTAGCTGCATGTAGTCACTTTTGGTAGTTTATTATGTGTAATTTAGGAGTTTATTAAGAGTACCTTTAGTAGTTTATTAAGTGTACTTTCAGTAGTTTATTAGGATGTACTTATCTCTCCCTTACCAGACCTGTGTTCTCCCATCTGGAGAATGTACAGTACGTTTGTGGGACGAGTCAAGTGATGTTGAGCTCAGCATCAACC